TCCCCTAAAAGCCTTCTCCAGCAAACTGGCGATGGACAAGAGGATTTGGAGATGAAAACGCATCTGAAAGCATGACAATTTCCTGTGGAAAAGAAATCGTACTTTCCAAGCATTCTGAATCAGCAGTGCAGAGCTTGACCCTCCCTGCTCAGCCCTTCTGCTCCATCCTCTCAGAGAACACCAATAAACATATGCATTGGCCAATTTATTCAATGTTTTGCATTTGTAGGGCATTTTTGATGCGAAAAGGAGCTCAGCTTTACATCTGTGTGACCTTGACATGCTTGAAGTCAAGCTGCTCTCTAAGTGTGAGTAGAACAGGGTCCTGTTGGTGGTGCACGGACCCCACCRTGTCCTGCTGGTGTCCCCTGGCAGGACAGGAGCTCTGGCTGCCGACTGCACTGATCTGAGCTGACAGCAGACCTGTGCCAGCGCCGGGGCTGTTCACGCTCAACGAGGAGTGGTGGCTGCAGCTCACCCTGTTCACCAGGTCTGACACTTCTGCTGGTGCCTGGGAAGCTGCAAGAAGGACAACAACTGCTGCCTGTTTCACGGCTGCAGCGATTTGTGCAGAGCAGAAAGGTGTGTGTGGCTGCAGAGGCTGTGGGGAGCTCGTGGCCAGGGCGAAGGGATCCAAGGCTCCTCCTGGGTGGGTTTGCAGGGAGCTGGAGGGAGGGATGCTCAGTAATGCAATGATAGGGCTCTCCTGAGCTCACCATTACAGCTACATCATTATTTCATAGATGTGCATAGGGGTAAATTGCCCGTGACCCAGCCAAGGAGGGATTTGCCACCTTTGGAGGCTCAGGGATGCTGGGGATGCTCTTCCCTCCCACAGAGGTGAGGCTCCAGGCCTCTGCCCACCCAGCTGCTGTAGGCCTGCAGAGACAACTCCCCAGGCTCCATTTTTAACTCCCTCTCTTTCATTTATATTCAAATCAGAGGATAAATGTAGGCAATGCGTGCGCTCAGCTCAGGCAAGGCTGCCGCTCCAGAGCAACCACAGAGAAGGTGTTTTATTTTTAAAATAGATGAAGGAAGAGATGAAGAGAAGGAGTTCTGCTCTCCAACCATCACCTCCTTGCTGCTAATGTTGGCCTGGTCATGAAAACAGAAAGATTTATATAAATTATTTGTTTTCCAATACGTGTGCTGTTTACTCAGTTCCAACAGTGAAAATAAAGCCAAGGTTTCTGCTTGTGCCTTAAGTCAGTTCCTATGTGTCATGAGCAGGTTTGTAGAGATGCTCCTGGGGATTTTGACTTCCAATTGCTCTTTATTTGATGATTTAAATAAATGATAAATATGCATATGGGATAATGAAAATATTCACGGGAGAAGTGCAGCCTAAAGAATATATTGATCTCCCCTGAATCAGGGCAATGCCTGACAGGGCTCTGCAGAAAGAGTGGAGGGCACCCTGCTCAGGGGCAAGCCCTGCACAAACCCACTGAGCTGGCCYCTTAAATGAAGGTGGAAACGTTTCCAGCATGGTGTGCAGCTCAGACTCCCAGGCYGTGTGCCCTGATAAGGCACGTGGGATCTCACTAACAACCCTCCRCATTTAGAGCAGAATTTTGCCCTAAAAGATTATCCTGACGTGTTTAAAAGTGACAGCAGTGTGTTCTGAGCACATGTGTGCTGACACCTGCATGTGTTGACCAGGCTGGACTCAGCCTCGTGCCTCATTCCCCAWGGCAGAGTTGTGCTGCCTTGTCCTTTTTTTGGGCTCTGCCCACCCCAGAGCACACAGGACTGTCAAAAACCACTTAATGCACGTTGACTTAATGTGAGTTGTGCAGCAAAAATGCTGCTGGGTGCTTGGAATGCCAAGTCTGAGCAGAGGATTCATTACTCCTGCATTGCAATTAGTGATAATTAAAAAAAGAAAGAAGGAGTTTTTGCATTGAGAGTTATGCCGGATGTCAGAATTAACATCTCATTGAATTATCAAAGCTTTCAAGTAGTGGGTGGTGGAGAGTGGCTTGGGGCTTGCAAATAGGTCAGAGAAAGAGCTGGTTGCTAAATATCTGATGAAAACTTTCCACTGGGGAAGGAAATCTTGCTGATTTGATGGAATAGGAACAATTCATGGGAGAACATTGATTCCCTTAAAAATTAGGGAAAAAGCAGTGCTGCCTGTGTGCAACCTGGCTCTGTTCCCCAGGGATCCATCCTGCTCACACAGGCATTATTCCCTTTCTCATTGCAAAATGAAAAATGAAAACAAGGGGAGCGTGAGCATTTTGGTGGCCTGGTGCCAGCACAGGTTTGCTCTGTGCTTTTGGCACCTCCACCTGAACGCCCTTGAAAGCAGCCACCAGATTTTTGGGTGCTCGGGATTCTGGGYTCAGCCAGGGATGGGTTGGGTCCGGTGCTGAGGGCTGTGGAGCGCTTGCAACTCTCTGTGACATCGACAGAGGGAGCGGCAGGTCCTGCGGAACTGTCCCTGTGCCCGGCCTGCGACGAACCAGCCTCCATCCCT